TTCAGTATTTACAATGTATTGCTTGCTATTTACAAAAATAACAACAAATTCAACACATAAAACAATATTACATAATACAATGGAGCTAGTAGCTATATGTGTCTTTATTTACATGTTGCATAGGAAATACAGGTCTACATAAAGTACTCACCTGTCTGTGCTTTATGTTAATGATAAGATAGATATCATAAATGCTTTTTGCAACTATGAAACCAAATCAGCAAACATGGATTTCATGAATTGTATCATATTTATTAAACATTTCCTTTCAGTCTTTTTTGATTCAAAAATATATTTATGGAAAAATAAACTTTCTGTCTATTCTAACTCAAAATATAGATAATATTTGTCTCAACTTTTAGACATTAGAGTCCAAAAGAGTAGTTGCAGTGCTTGTTTGAGGTTATCTGTCATTCAGTTGTCATTTAGGTTGTAGGTTCAATATTGTCTGGTTCTTTGGTTTTAAAGTTTCAAGCCCTCAGTGGAGCATTTTTAAAAAGCACCTTCTTCTCAAAAGGGAATATTCGATACAGCAGAACAATAATTTTTTGAAACTTTTAGTTTTTGGTCTTTTTATCCTTTTCTCTTTTTTTGTCCTTTTTCTCTTTATCTGCCTTTTCTTTCTCAGATTTCTTCTTCTCCTTCTTTTTCTCATCCTTGATCTCCTTGTACTTCCACTTCGGTGGTTCCAGGAAGCGCTTGTCCATCTTCCTCTTCTTCTTCTCTTTCTTTGGCGTTGGCTCCGTAGGCCTCAGGATGTCGATCTTGGGGATGCAGCCGGAGGGAAACACGCTGTTCCTTCTCGCCATACTGCGTGGAATAAATGTGGTGGCGACTTTAGTGGAAGCCAGCGAGATGAGGCTGCCTCGCCGCTCAGCCTCGGTGCAGCACGTTGTAGCGATGGACTCAGCAGAGTGGATTGTGGGAATGATATGAGATACTGAGCCATTGCTGTGGCACACTGAGCGCTCTTCTAATTCCTTATCCGAATGTTTCTTCACCAGTTCTGGCACAGCAAGGCGCCGCTTCCCCACCTCAGGAGGGCTCGTAGGGCAGAGCGGGCGGCATCCGATTGAAATCAGGGGACTGTGGACACTGGTGGTCATGCGCACCATGTGGTCCAAGCACCCGTTGTCCTCGGGGTCATGAGGAAATCTGAATCCAAATGTACTTTTGATCCGCTGCCTAATTTTTTCACTGGCACTCTTCACAGCTACGGCATTGGCTGCCCTCTCCTTGAGCTCAGGCCACTCAGGGACATAACTCTCACAGAACTGCTCAGCTTTAGGCCGCATTTTCAGGCGGCGGAGACGATGGATGATCTCATAGCGGCCGGTTTTCAGTGCCCACTCCTGAGCACATTTTCCTTTTGTGGAGTCTACTGCATGTAAGTCAGCTCCTGGAAATAAAGATGGTAGAGCAAAGGAATTAGTAGGCCTTTTTTATGGTTGACATTTTGACCTTTGTTAGAAGGAAAAGGACAGGTGTTGTTAATCACATTAATGATAGTTCTATCCCAGTTCACAGATAGACCTCCCAGTGCGCCATACCAGTGAGCAAGTATGCACAAACCCAGGGCCCTGAAACTGAAACACCTCAATTGAATACAGGTATTATTATTAATTAATTAGGTTTAAATAAATAAGTTTTACTATAACATGTCAACATCTCTGCCACACTAAGGCCTATAACAAAACATTGGCAATATACAGCACAGTGGTCACTGTACAGTCCTTTTGATTTTTGATTAGTCAGTTGAAAATATTAATGAGCAAATATTTTGATAATTTATTAACATTTTTCAGGCAAAAATTCCAACCACTCTCTGGATTCAGCCTATCAAATATGACGATTTACTGTTTGTATTTATACTATATGACGTACACTTAATATCTGATATCTGAAAGGTTATGTATTGTTGCTGAAGAGATCTCTGTGGGCTCTGAGAAATTGTGAATGACATTTGTTCTGTATTTTTCTTTTACATTATGCAGATTAAAAGATGAATCACTTAATCGAGAAAATGAACAGCTGATTAATGAATAAAGAAAATAATCGTTAGCAGCAGCCCTTCTGCAATGAGATTTAAGGAAACGTGTGCAGTATAAATACATCTACAAGTGTCTTGTAGAGATTACTGCAGGCCGTTTTAAGGTGTTTGTGATAATGTCCTAAGAATAATCCCTTAAACCGGTCTGGCGTCACTGGCACGTTCACTGGTAAACAGAGTTAGCTGGCTTCAAAAATGGACGGATGAACAGTGGGGTCAGCTATTCTGACCACCGGTGCTGTAACAGTTCACATAGAGCTGTAGTGCTCCTGGTAAACTAACTAAGTTTAAGGTTCAAAAGAGACCTAATAAAATCATAGTACAGCAGCTCCTGTATGAGTGAAATGTTGTTTGACTTGTGGTTGAAGAAGCTGAATGCCTGGAGGAAAACTGCACTATCAGTCATCTGAACATTGTTTTATGTCCATAGAAATGTACTTTTATGCCTTTTGTTACTTGTGAAAAGGTTTGAAATGTGACTGAGTGGTTCATGTGTGTAACTTAACTATATTTAAGTCAAAATGAATATACAGGGAAAAATAAATGTGTCTCTTTAGGTATAATGTTCTATCACTGAGCAACATGTGATGCCAGCAAGGTCCAAATGTATGCAAACATTATACAATAAATGTAATTAAAATGAATGATAAACTAAGAAAGTTTTCCAAGACTCTAACGACAATAAATGGGAAATCAGGCAAAATGGTAGCTGTGCCCCTGCTCTTACGTACCAGCCATAACGAGGGCAGAGACAACGTCATTACGGCCGGTCATAGCAGCTTTGATGAGTGCTGTGAAACCTCGACAATCCTTTATTTCTGTGTCTATACCAGGGTAGTAGTTTAGGAGATACATGACTGTGTTGATGTGACCTGGAGATAAAAAACAGAATTCAGAGATCAGATCAACAGTGAGTCAGAAAATGACAATTTAAAGCTCGTTCTGCTTCTTACAAAAGTCTCAGTTTACATGACTCAGATAAACATACTGACTGTTTGCATCAAGAAGAAATAAATTACTGAAGTTTGACAGTCATTTATAAGTCACATAATGCTGTATGTGATATTTGCTACTGACTGATTACACCACAATTGAGGTAGCTCAATTGTTTGTGTTTTGTTTTGTCACTGTTTGGTGTGTAGGTAGAACTTACCTGCTTGGGATGCAATCATCAGAGCAGTGTTTCCTTCATTGTCCTGGTGATTTATGTCTATATAAGGACAGCTGTGAAGCCCATAAACAATGTCCACAAACCCTTTGCAGCAAGCCACCATCAAGCCATTCTGTTGGTAACAGTGAAAGGTAAGGATCAATGACAGTGGGAGCATTTCAGACCTTTTAGTAAAAGACTGGAGCTATGATTTTACAGGTTCCGAATCATTAGCGTTATGAATGAGACTCTCACCCAGCCATTGATGTCCAGCTCCATGACCTCTTCTTTTGTGACCCCTCTCTCCAGAACTTTCTGCAGAGAGACGGGTTCATTACGGGCGCACGCTCGGTACAGTGTTGATGCAGCAAGCCCGTTTGTTCTTTCCGGCATGTACTCTGGAAGCACCGAGTCATCAGAGAGGATGCTGTCTGAATCAGACTCGCTCCCTGACAGAGAAACGTCGTCCTCATCGGGGCCCGAGCCCAGGTGGGGGTCCTCTGCTGCAGTGGCCATCGTCCAACAGCTGAACGGGTGAGATGGTACTCTATCCTTTGGCTACATCTATAAGAAAATCCAAAACAGAAAATAGATACTAGATGTTGTCTATAGCAACAAAGGTGCAATCAGATACGCTCGAGATGGAAAAGATGAATCTTTCCTCCCTAGAAACCTCTCCGTAATTACACATAATGCCAAGTTAAAATCATCTCCTTATTGTAGGCAGAAAGTTGTTACACAACACACATCATGCTGTATGTACAGTACAATGCTTCATGTGCCACACTGAAAGATTAAAAGTTTGATTATTGTCAGATTGTCAAAAGGGTAAGATGAGTCTGTCACTCGAGATTATGAGTATATTATCTGTGTGTCATGGAGTGGGTGTGGCTGTACGAGCTCAGTATGCCTTTACTGTTGAGTAAGTGGATCAACATCTAAAAGCCCTGCTCAACATACAGGAGGGCTAAATGAGGAACAACTCTCCTCAGAATAACCTCAGTTACATGTGACCCTGGTCAACTCATGTTTTGGCTGCTTTCTGAAGACTATTTAGAACTACTGAAAAGAATAACTATTGTGTTTTAGTGTCACCTGCAATGTAGTAATGTAGATGTTGTGATGTTCTTGACCCTGTAAAATCACAACAGAATTGTGATTTGGAAATGTTGAACATTTCTAAAGAGGATCACTGACATTGATTGTCCAGAACACAGATTACCTGTTATGACTGTGTTGTACAAGATAACACTTACTATAAAATATGTTTAAATAAAAATCTTTAAGTACAGACAGTACACAGGCCAATGTGAACACAGTTTACAAAACCAAAGTAAAGAAGTGAAAATTCTGAGGCAGAAGTGCAGCATCAGTCATCCTTTACCATTACAGAATGTATCTTTTATCACTTTCATATATAGACATAAAGAACGTACACTTACCATAAAGGGTAATCAATCAGCTGTAATTGTCGATATATCCACCTGTCTGTCTGTGTATGTCACACCTCTGTGACTCTGTGGGCCACTTCTGACTTCCTCCAACACTCCTACTGTATTGTCAGAGCAGCCGAGAGGTCACAGCTTCCTCCTGGCACTGTAAATAGAGGTACTTTACCCATTTCCATGCCACATATTGTCGTGATGACATAAAACAGAGAGGAGGAGTCTTCGCAGAGTCTTCACAGAGACACCGTGTGTTCAGCTCCTGTGCTCGGCTCATCCCACTTACAAAAGCTTTATGTAGGGGATTACTTAATGCCAGTATTGTCTATATCACGGAGCTTATACCATCTTTTAATTGGCTAAACTAAAGAGTTTTACCCCATATTTTAACTTTCTGAAGTGTCACAGGTACATTTGATTTGATTTACAGATAGTAAAATGGGCTAATCAGGAAGCAAAACTTTATCTGAAAAATAAATGAGAACATATAATGTGAAAAAAAAACAAATCGGTCGATTAATGACATTTATGAAAAAAAAACTCTTTTGTAGTCCCTACACAATAATTAATCTGATTATATATGTATAAAATGTTATCAGTAAGCTGCTTAAGCCAGAGAAATCGTATTAATTGTCAAGACTGACTAGCAGATGACCAAATCAGGTCCCAGCACGCTCTGAACAGATGGGACAGAGTCCAGACTCAAGAAAACTGAAACAGAAGGTGTTTCACAGAACAGCAGTGGCAGCTGTGGCTGAGTCATGATATTTCTCAGATTTACCACAGGATGGAGATCTCTCACACACTTCACAGGCTCTACTGTCTGACTCCAGTCTTCATAATTTGGACATAATATGCTGAAACTGATGAGCAGTTATATCTGAGTCCTAAATATCAGGAAGGTACAAACTGAAGTGAGGTCTAAGAGGATTTAAGTATATTTTTGGTTCCACTGTGGGACGGCAGTGTAGTCTTGGTTGAGTGTAGAAAACTGGAAAACAAGTGAACGAAACAGCACTAATAAAAATAAAAGGCAGATCGTATAGGCAGTATGATCTGTTCTACTCAATGGTAATAAGCACTTATTAAAATGGTAAAGCACTTTTAGTTTTTCTGAAGCTATTTGGAGTTAGTTAGTTAAACGTCCTGCTTTGTGAATGGTCACCGACTGAAATTAGCCTATGGGACCTCTGGGACGTGGCTGGACCTGTCTGGACAGAATGAGCCCCCTCATGTCCAGAAGGGCCTGAGCACAGATCTCACTATAATTGAACAGCTGTCTTTATCTGCCCAGAGGAGAAGAAAGACCTCCAAAGCATAGATCGTCAGCTTTTGCCCTTCTGTTGGACATCAGGCAGGCTGGCTGAGATGTTTTCCTGAAACTTTTAAACTTGTTTTCTGTAGTTAGATTAAATAGCAAGTCAAAGGTTCAGGCCTGGATGCTTAAATGAGGGAAGAAGGGATGAGATTGAATTTACAGACATTAAGGTAAAGAAAAAGGACTTCATATTAGGACAAACTCGAGGGGAAGAGAAAGGGATGAAAAATGAAGACTTTGGCAAAAGTGCAAGGGAGGACTGAACAACTTCTGGGATACAGGGTTGATAAAGTGAGTGTCTTCATTATTCAAGTGAAGTGATGGAAATAACTTCAAGCCTAAAAACGTGCATGTATCTGTATCTGCCTGTACTCTGGCTACTCTTATTTATTATATAAATGTTGAAATTGTGTGAAATGTAATGGAGTAAGACAAGAAGACCACACCTGAAAGTAAGAATAGTGTATGCATGCTGAAACTTTGGTATGCATTTATTTGTGTCTGGTTATTTTTACCTTGCTTTAGTATTAACATGATTCTTCCATATGAAACTGGAATAAACAATGTTGTTCTTTGTTAATGGGAATATATAAACCTTAAAACATTGCTGCTACTCATCTTATATTAGCAGATTAGGAAATGTATTTGTCTTCAGGGTTACTTTTGAGTTGATCTTTGTTAAATTATAACTGGCCATGTGTTAAGAAAACTTATCATGACTTGTATTAATTTAGCCCATGTGCTGCTGTTTATGCGGCACTACTTTATAATATAAAAAATGTAAATGTAAAATGTAAAAAAACAGTGTGCAGATCGGTGTGATTTGTCTACGCCAAGTTGTTCAACTGTTGGTTAATTTTGATAGACGACCAACAAAAAGTAAAAACCTTTAACATGAATCATATTCTTCAGACAGCGTGAGGTTTCTTTGGCCTAAGATTTGATATTGTCCTGCTGTCTTTAGCCCTCACTGAGAAATTCCTCAGATAAGATACGGAACCACTTAAGCTGAAACAAAAATACAAATTAGAGAGGAGTTGAGAGAGAGATAAAAAGTGTTATTATTAGCTAAATCACTTTATCTACCACACACATACATTAAAAAACATATACAGCTACAAAAAAGACAAAGAGGATATAGTCTTTTTAATTAAACTTAATTTATTTTTAATTTCACCCACTCACTCTCATGTCTGTCTGTGTGTAAGATTTCAGACACCAGCCGGGAGAAACTGTTGTCGGATGAAAACAACAAGGACACGCAGACGCAGTTCAAGTGGGTCAGAAAGTCCAGTGTGGCTGGAAGATGCAAAGGTAACACAGTGCGTTTATCTGCTGCTTACTGTAGTTTAGTGCTGTGTGCACCTCACCCATAGTGGGGAGCTGTCTGACAGAAAGCATTTACAGCTGAGATTTGACTGAAAGGAGTTTTTCACTTTTTGCACAAAACATCATGGATGAATTTAAAATGCTAAAGGCAACACCAAATATAAAAAGCACACATTACCTTATCCCGATGATTAAATATTGGCTCATTAGGTGTGTGTGTGCTCACATACACATGCATACAGTAATCCTGCATTGTGGAGAGATCAGTGCTTTTCAGCTCACAGAGATCATGTCAGCAGAGTTTTTAAAGGCTTAACTCGATGGCCAAGAGAGCAAGAGCGTTTTGTTATTTTTATAGCTGTAATCTGTCCTCTGTGGATTGAGATTCCAGGGTTGTGTTGGTCGAGCTGTGACGTGTGCTTATCTGTCTATGTGTGTGTGTGTGTGGTACTGTGTAATATATGTGTGTCACATAGAGACGGACAGCAGCTGTATTAGAGACAGATTCTTCTCTTTCTGTTGTTTTTTTCTTCCTTCTGTTACTTTTTTGGGTTCGTATGAGTTTATGCATAAATCTCCTTGAATCACACTACCGGCTGCCATGAGCCTAGACAGCTGTGCTCGGAAGATCATCTAGTCATGAATGCTTAATCTTGGCTTTGAGATTTAATCGGTCCGCCTCCATCCTGCCAGCTCAGTTTCCACATGTTGGTTTTTCCACAGCAGAGTAAATGCTTTGGTACCTGTGGTGACAAAGGAGAGCAAACTGCCTTATTGATTAGAGGAGGAGGTTCTTAAAAAAGACATATTATAGATAATCTTTGTTCCTCAGATTTGATTCATCATAAATCTGCAAGTGCATGTGCATTTGAGTAACTGGGGCTGCTTTTCTTAAGTTTGAATGCAAATGTGACACAGTCAGTTAAGATAAGATGTTCCTTTATTTATCCCCCATGGAAGAAATTCAAGTTTGACACATCAGCATGGGGGAAATGTAATGCAAAAAGTACACAAGTGTAGAAATACAATAAAGAATAATACAAATAAAGTATTATAAATATATAATAGAACATATAAAGACTATAATGAAAGCTATATATAGATATATACACAGTATGCAGTAAGAAATATTGTGTGCAAAAATATTTTAAACAGTGTATAACTAGCTAGTTACAAACAGTTATGTACAGAGAAAGTCCCAGCCTCACTGTGGGAGGGTGATAGTATCTGTGCACACATTACCGAATTTTGTGACTATAAAACTACCAAGAAGCAGCGGTCAAGTGAATTTTTTGACAGTTTTTTGAAATTCCTCGAAAACTAAGAAATGTGACCCCTCAGTACAGTTTGCATGTGTTTATGGCTGGTGGCCAGTTCAACCATATATACATTTTTCCTTCTTAAAATATACGGCATATAAGGGGAAAAAAAGATTGAGATTCATCTTGTGACCCCTTGGGGGAGTCCTGACCCACATTGGGAAAACACCTTGATTCTATGTTAGCTATGTTAGCACATCTGTAGTTGATTGGGTGTTAGTGGATCTTTGCTTATGGCAGTACAGTGTGTAAATGCATGAAATTATATTTCATTTAAATCTGTCATATCCTATTAATGCAGCTTGATGTATGGTGACAGATGAGTACGCATTTCTTTTAACGAGACTAAGAGTCAGCATTTTAACACGCTCACAATGGGGTGATATGTTCCCCAGTTCTAGGATTAGGACATTCAGGAACAGATATTCTCCCTCTCTCAATGACAACCGTAACCTTATATCTTTAGCAGGTATAGTGTTTACCATGTTAACCATATTAACGTGTTAGCATGCTAACATTAGCTATTTGGCACTAAACACAAACATAGAGCTATGGTTGATGGGAGTGTCATTTAGAGGTATCTTTTTAAAGTTGGACCTGATTGTGGGTCTAGATGAAAAAAGGGGATCACAAAAGTTATTATAATTCATCCTGAGCGGGACACGAGTGCCTGGACCACATTTTATGGCAATCTGTCCAACAGTTGTCGAGATATTTGACTACACATCAACCTCATGGTGGCGCTAAAGGAAAAGTTAATTCTCTTTCATCCTCTTTATATTCTGAAACTGTATCCATGTGACAAAGTTGAGATATTTTAGTCTGGAACCAACTGACATTTCCATCCGTAGAGTCGTGTTGCTAGCGTGGCTAAATGAATGGAAAGTTACTCTGCACAGTTGAAATTTTTGCTTATATCATGGAAAAGCCCGTGTTCGTCATTGCTCATGCGATGACAGTACTTAAGGTCCCACAGCTACAGAGCAAACACTGAGAGGAGAAGCTGATGAGGGAGGCATGAAGAGAGAGGGCAGAGGGAGCAAAAGAGGAGGGGATAGAAATGAGAGGAGGTGGGGCTAGAGACAGATGCTAGCGCAGCAGTGCAGCATGTTAACTACCACCACCCCCCTATCCCCCACCCCCTTCATCATCACAGCCCCTCCCATTCCCCGCCCCTCTGTCGGTCCCTCACTTACTTCTGGTCCCTCTCATAATCTTTACACAGTATCTGACCACACAGAGAGGCTCGAGAGTGGAGGGGAGCACCTTCTCTCTGGTTTTTTTCCACGGTTACTCTTCCAATCATGGGATAGGAATAGCTTCTTTTTTTTTTTGCCCAAAGGGAGTTTCTGCTCAGATTTGGACTATGACTGTGGGGCTCTCTGTACACTTTTCCTCCCATCCTCTCAGGGCATTACCACAGGAATAGTGTGTGTGCATGTGCTTATGTGTGTGTGTGTGTGTCAGTCCAGCGTGATGCCTGCTTCTGATAGTCTCGAGTCTAGCAGCAGGAGTGGATCATCATGAGAGGGGGTCACCACCAGCGAGGGTGTGGGTGTCAGCACCTGTTCAGAAAACTGCTCAGTAAATGTGGCTGCTGCTTTGTTCGAGTTAGAGGTACGTAGATGCTCTTCAGGAGCACTTTGACTGTAGTTGTTCTGTGATGGTAATAATACATTTATGTTTGGTTGTTTCTCAAAATTCCTGAAGTTGATGCATGCAATGTTATTTTTGTTGTTTGTACACAGCGTTTTGTAATGAATTTGAGATGCAGTTGGTCACGTCCTATATCAAAGCCAAAGTTAGTTTCTTTAAGTTCTAGTAAAATCCGATGAACCTTTCTTTATACATGTTTATGTAACATATTTATTAATTTTGTTACATTTTCATCCATTCACTTCCCAGTAAGTGCCTGTAATAATGAGAGTGCAGCAGCATTAGAAAGCCAGAAAACAAATGATGGGTTGTTTGGACAAAACTATCCTACTGTGTGTCCTTCATGTTTATGGTGTAATTTAAGAAAAAGTGTAGTTAAAGGAATACTCGACTGATTACAGGATAATATGCCAAACATATTATGTAATTGTATTGGCTGAAAAAAACTTTATTTTTCTGCTTCAACCATTGTTACTAGACGTATCCCGTCTCACACATCGTCTACACACCCCTTAGCTAGGTCTGCTATATTCTTTATCCTTAATTTGAATCCACATTAGCTTTCACAAAGTGATTAAGCTAATATTAGCACTGTAATGTTTGCTCCATTATGTTTGTATTTCTTTATTGGTTGTACAGTTGTGCAGTAACAGTATTGTTATTTCTGTAATGATACACAACAACCAAACAGTCACTATGTTCTGAACAGGAGCTTTAGCTGAAACAGTGAACCTCTCCATATTAATTCTGTTAACTAGCTTCTAGCAGCAACGTCAGCCACATTTACTGCATCAAACAATCAACAAGCCATAATGTTCTTGACTAACAAAACCCTGTTCAGTCTGGTTTATCTTTGATGGAAAAAGTGGTGTATATTGTACGATAAAGAGGCTATTCGTCAGCCAAGCAGGCCGGACAATTGTTAGCATATTAGTCACAATATTAATTCCTGACAAGTTGTTTCACCGTTGCGATCCTCCTCTGGATTTGGGCTAAAAGGGCTGATGAATTTTGATGTTGATCATTGATTCTACCTTTACGAAAGAAAAAGATAGGCTGTGGGTATTCCTTTACATAGGAACTCTGTCTGACTGAAATACCAAAAGAGAGTTTTAGAAAGTTTGCTCCAAGGAACAACAAGAAACATGGAAGGGACAGTTTCATTTATACTTATTTTTTTCAGGATACATCTGCAGTAGTAACAGTACACTTCACTGTTTATAAGGATGTGATACAGGCACAGCAAGATCCATGTTTCAAATAGACAAAATGTGATAGAGTCACATCTGGATCTCTGAAGTGTCTCTGAATGCTGCTGTTCACTGAATCATCGCAAGTCAATGAGTCACTGTCTTGACATTCCTTTCCCAAAAAAAACTAAACTGAAAGACCCCCATTACACACTCTTTCTCTCTCTCTCTCTCTTCCTCTCTTCTTCTCTCTTCCCAACCACACACACACACACTCACTCATCACTGAGAATAATTATATACAATAAGACGATTTTTTGTTAAGTTTATTTGACATTAATTAACCAAAAACCTAAATGATAACACCTAGCCCTAGCCATCTAACTTAGTTAGCATTAGGTTGCATGCTAAAATGCTGCAGTGTTACAAGAGTAACTGAGATAGTGTGGACATGTGCAGAGGAGAGATGCTGGCTATATCGCTGGCAGGCAGGAGGAAAAGAGGAGGTTCATGGATGTGGTGTGGCAGGAGACATGCAGGTGGTTGTACAGAGCAAGATGCGGAGGTCAGAGAGAGATGGAAACAGACGATCCGCTGTGGCAACCCCCAACGGGAGCAGCCAAAAGCAGATGAAGGAGTCGGTTGTTTGAGTTGGTTTAACACTGTTTTCATATCAGATGCATTTTTGACTGCGGCTCTGTATAGACGTGTGTGTGGTAGCACATAAAAACAAAAAGTGATTTTCTTAATCTGCACCCCTAGAATACTGTGACCTTGCTTCAGGGCAAAGGCAACAGTACACACAAACACACACACACACACACACACACACATTCAAACATGCACATACACAGACACACAAACACGTCCCGTTACTGCCCGACCCTTAAATCCTCTGTTGTTCCAGTTGCTCGGGGAGTGATTACAGAGCAGCTCTTCTCTGAGCTGCATTGCTCTGACAGACCCTGCAAATAGACGTGTGAAGCGTGAAAACAGCCGTGGTTTCTCACCTTTGTTCAAAAGCTTCATAGAAGATCTCTGACACTTGTTCAGGATGTGATGTGATGTCAGTATTGCTGTTATACAAGGTGTTTTGTTCCTGTCTGACTCTAAAAATACAATTCTTGTCTGTTTGTGAGTCCGTGCATGAGTTTGCTTTGTGTTCATAGAAAGCCCAGCAGTCACATTCAGGACAGCACAGGCTTTCTTTTTTCATCTAATCTGTTTGTCTCGCCTTTAGTGCATATTCTGTTCTGTGGTAGCAGGAAAGACTTTTGTCGGGAGAGCCTTTTATTTCAAGTGTTCTTATGTGGTTTGGGGCTTTTCTCTTCTGTTTTTGTAGCTTTCTGCTCTCCCTCTACCTCCCCTGAAGACTTCTTTCTTATAACTCCTTCATTCTGCAATTTCGCCTTGAGTGTTTCATTTCATTTGGCGCAATGTCCAACAGCTATTTATAAAGGCAGAGAAACACCTCCACATAAAGTATGTTTGGGAAACTTGCTTGGAAATCTATTTAAAAGTCCTGCCAACAATCTCGCTGTCTCATTACATATACATCACACTGGCTCAGAAACTGCCATGACTAATAGTCCATTAGACCACCAGTGTGTGTGAGGTCATCATTGCCAGTATGTGAAGAAGTAAACATGATAACTAACAAGCACAAAAGTGCACTTACATATACAGTAGCTTATCTGTAATCTCAGTTGTAATTTTTCATTACATTTGGTGGTTGTGTGTTCTGGTGAAATATTGTCTTTGAACCACAGGACTGCCTGACCTTCATATGACCACACTTAGACAATTAGACATGGTGCTGAGTCCCCACAGGAGAAGGGTCCAGGAGACATTCAGTCTTCTCTTAGGCAATGCAAGTTTATTTGCATACGTTTTTTTGTTTCACTGTGTGTTAAAAACAGGATATATAGATTTAAACATTAGAATTCAAATTAAAAGGATATAAACTATTTTTAACAGAAACTGAAAATATAAAACTGAGAATTAAATGCAAGATATCAATATTTTAAACATCAACAATAGATCAAAGTACCTTCACTTTTATGGGAAAGTGTTGTTGGATGAACCCACAGAGACTCTACAACTCCCCTCAGCTCCACAGATCTTTTTTAACATATTTCAGCTCATTGTTTTGGTTTTACGGCTGTGTATGCTCACTGCCCACCAAACTGCAGACAGAAGTTAGTGATTAGCTGCTGGTGAACAATTTTATATTTTAAACTGTTGTTTTAGAGGTAGTGGACGTTTGTTCAAGCTCTGTGGTGCAGAGTATTGTAACTAAGGCTATGTTCAAACTGCAAGCCTAATTTCATTTGTTTTGTTTGGCTGTTATTTTTATTAAATATTATTTATTTGTTAAATGTGGCCCATATCCAGTGTTACTAATACAGTTCGGTAATAATATCACAGTTACTCCCCCAAAATATAATTAGGTACGACATTAGTTTTTTTGTCACCGCCCTACTGATTTGAAATCCAATAATCCAGTCACATCCTTGGATTAATTTTTCTAATCATTACTTTGTTTTAGTAATTTATATAACTAGTAGTGTAACTAGTTACTATTAGTGGGGAATAATAAGTAAAATAATAATATATTCCTTTTGGAATATTGAGTAATACATTAAAGCAACCACTACCTAAAGCCAGTGCAAATACCTGTGCAACCGGTGTGTTGAGTTCAATACTCTTCAGTACTCATTCTCTGACCTTAACCAGACCTTCAGTGAGGGTGAAGGAGGAGACCGAGAGTGCAAACAAAAACTATGAGGGGTGACCACAGTGTACGAGTGAAAGCCCACATCAGCAGCCTGCTGCGCCGTGGGAAAAAGGAAGTGGTGTCCTTCTACACTGTAAAAATGCAGGATGTAATCATATATGATGTGAAGGGATATTAATCATAATCATTCTTGTCATAGTTTACTAGCAAGCAACAACTGACTTAATAATGGCTCAGGTCACAAATGCTAAGAGCAGAAAGAGCAGCCAGCAGCATGTGAATGTATGGACTGGAGTAGATAGACTCTGTGTTTAAGTGTATAATTGATGCACAGGAAGATCAGCTGATCAGATCCTGAACATTTCAAAGCTACATGTTAAAAGTCCTCTCTCCTGTCTAGGAATGAAACCACTCATTAGTTTAATGTGGAGCAAAGAATAACACATCTATGTGTGTGTGTGTGTATGTGTGTGTGTGCATGTGTGCGTCTTTAATTCTAGTAATCTGTCACTCCCTCGGATTTATAAACTGTGCATGAACCTTGTTTAGGAGGATGCAGGCGACATGAAAGTGGCTGGTTTGTAGTTTTGGTTATGACAGCGGTGTGGAGTATTTGCCCTGGCAGTTATCCAACAGGAAGAGAAGGAGGCTGTTTTTAGCCAAAAATAACTGGATTTGATTGCAGTAATGATGATTTCATCCATCAGCACGTGCAGAATACGAGGCACCAGCAGTAATCAGCTCCCATATACAGACAAATAAAAGTCTGGTACGTAACATGTGTAAAGCTTTAGTCATGCTTACACTTGTCTGTAAGTGTCATCATACTGTTTGAAGCAGTGCTTCAGCAGCATCTCAGTAATTCCTGCTGGTGCTGACCATGACCATTTATGGGTTTTAGTGGGGGAAGATGTAGTTAACTATCTCCCAACCATCTGCTTTAAGAGGGAGAGAGAGAGAGAGACTGCTATGATGTAAAGTAGGTCATGAAAGCAGCACTCTCTCTACCATCACAGCCACATGAGCATAAATACAGTATACACTCTTCTCATGCAAACAAGAGTTAATCATTAATAATCATTAACATACCATGACCAAAAGAGTGATCTTCTCTTTATACACCTGAAATTATAAAATACATTTACTTTTGTGAAAAAACAGAAAAAAAGTATCCGGTACAGATAATGTACTTTTTACATGTAATAGTATCACCAGAGTAAGATCTGTGTCAATATCCATACTCTTAATACAGCAACTTTTATAAAAGAAACTTGTTCTGTAAATTATATTTTACTTGTTATAAAGAAAAGCTAAATTCTGAGGCTGTTCTGTAAATAGTTTTCTAAAAAATATAGCAACTTCTGATCAACCCATGTCTATTTCAGGCTTAAATTAACAACTGATTTCCCCGCCCACTTCCTGTTTAAGCCCCACTCTTTCCAGTGTACTCGCTCATCCCTATTTTGTGGATGGATTTTACATTGTATCACCTTGCTTTTAACAATATAAATACCAAAACCAAGTCTAAATGTTTTGGATTTCATTCAAAAGTAGCATTTAAGTGGTGCATCTACCTGAATCTCTGTGATTCAGTGATGGTGCAAACTACCCATTATATCACCTCCCATCATATTATACATTAATGATAGCGGAAGTGAAATTTTACTAAAACAGATGAACTGCCACTCAGATACAGAACCTGAAATATAATGTTGTACTATGGTGAAAATTGACTTACTACGTTCTACTCAGAGAGAAAACATAGTCAGTATTTGTACATTGCTGGTTTTGCCAACTTCAAAAGGCTGAGGGGACAAAGCTTAAACTGGATTGTTTTAACAGAATCCAAAAATACAGCTGCCAGTGCCTCAATGCAACAGACGGGATTACCGTCGGAGAGACTGACCCTTCGTTAATGTTTTGGTCCTGTTTACAGCCATCTCTTTCCATCTGGGTAGGTGTGTTGTCTGAGCCAGCGGGGTTGCTGAGAGAATCAACCCCCACCCAGCTTTAATCCATCCATCAATCTGTATGCAGTAGATAATTTGTGTTTCACATAAAACCACCTCCATGACTGACATGTTACATAAATCTGCCCCAGTGATATGTAAAAAGTTATGTTTGATATAATTTGGATGTCAGTACAGCCTACATACAAGGATTCATTCACAGCATGCATGCTTGCAGGCACTGCAGTCCGGATGGTGGTCCAGCTGTTGCTCAGTGGGAAAATGACACATTACATAAGTGTCTCAAACAAACATGACAAGCTGAGTTGATCAGCTCAGCGGTTGTTTGGCATCACAATGACCATTACTCACCATTAAGGGCCAGTTCATAGAAAATGTTGATGTATTTGTAGAAAAAAGCTGCAAGGTGCACTTCTGGTATAATTTCAACAGATGGTAAGGTGCTTGTTAGGGGTCCTATATGACCTGACCTTGATAGATAAAAAACCCAGGAGACCAGATGGCTCTCTCTGCTCTGGGTGATAAGTGTGTGTGTGTGTGTGGGCATCTGTAGGTGTTTGCACCAACTGATTCTGTGAATTGGCTCTCTTCTTATCAGAGTTACATAATTGAGGATATAAAGTCTTAAAGTATTTTTTTTTTTAATTGTAGGGATGATGTGGGGCTGTTTTGGCTTACACACCTATTCAATGGTGTGTGGATGGTGGGGACAGTGCCTGCAGAATGGGAGACAATAATGGTTGTTGGTTGGTGGATCCCATTTTTAAAAGGGGGGACTTTTTACAGTTTGTAACCTTCTTGGATTGGATCTCAAGGCTCAGAAAACGTGAGGAAAGTGGTCTGGTGACCTCAAAATCATCTCTCTCCATTTTGCAGATGATGTGATTCTGTTGGATTAATTAGACACCATGAACTGGCTCTGGATAATCGTCAGAAAATGTATGGATGGATGATTTGCCTGATGAAGGTCTAGTATAGAAATGTTGCAAATAAATGTTATAATTGCAAGTAGGATTTTTGCAGCCATGCTAATGTAAGCACTACAGAGACTTTAGTATGGCATAGACTCGTGTTTTCCCAATGAACAATCTCTTAGCTGTGCTACTGCGTTATTTTCTCCATCAATTATTTGATATTTTTTTAAATTCCACAACTTTCTGCATTTATTTATGTTTTTTCTGCCTTCCTAAACTGGTTGATTATTGTCACTCAGCATGACCTTAAGATTCATTTTAGAAAGCAAACTTTCCCAACAGTCCACTGGTTCAAACTTCTGCCAAGAGCCACCAGATACACACACACACACAGAAATGAGTTTGTGTTGTTCACTGCATGAGTGAAGTACCAGGCGATTAATTAGTTTAATTAAGTTTGAATCCAGCCTACTTTAGATGTCTAGATTGTTTTGTGGGAGACTGAACTGACAGTCAACTCAAGGTATAAGTATACAGAGCTGGTCTTAGAATAACATCATCCCCAATGTTGTGAACAGTGAACTTTTGTATTAAGAGAAGAGTTTGCTGGTATCTGTGAAAAAAGAAAAAGATAACTGAAATGGAGCAGGAGGAAAAAACACATTATTTAGTATTTTACTGTCAATATGGTGTCTTGTCTAATGGCAGTATCAGGCAGTTTTGGCAAATAGCTGACCCAGATTTCCACTGGCTTCTTGAAAGCTTGTTATTATGATTACAGCTTACATAAATGTGCTGACAGGGAATAGTGGCTTCTGGGAAGAGTCCAAAACGACAAAATGGGGCTCCTGAAAGATTCCACTTTGCTACGATCAGCAGAACAGAGTGAAATGTTAATGTTAGGGTGCTTGATTAAAACAGTGTGGTTAAAGATTATGCACCAGTTTCCATAGGCAGGAGACTTAAAGCTGGAAACAAAATCCAGCTGTGGCGTAAAAGGGTGTCAGCTCCAGTATTGGTCCAGCCTGCGTTGTAGAAAGAATGAGGGCAGTTAAGTGCAGACATGATGGGTTTAATTATGACTGACTTTAGGTCAGATAATCCACCGAGGTCTAGGAAAAAACATTACAGTTTGTACCTTTTTAAAGGCTTCATTCGGGAACTAAATTATATCTGAAAAGTCAGTGCTTATAAAACCGAGTCCCAGTTGTAGCGGCGATAAATGAGGGTTTGTGTTACCACAGCAGGTATAAAGTTTTTAATAGCGCAATTTAGAGACTTAGCCATGTGTCAGTATGTTCCAGTGCAGGTTTTAATCAGGTACTCATGATTTAATGGGAAAAAAGTAACAAAAACACAGTGCAGTTATGATGTTGAGTATTTCCATTTAATGCTTCATTTCAGAGATAACTATATTGCATTGCGTTTATTTGAAAACTATAATTACTTTGCACTATTTATGAAGACTTTAAAATCCTATAATATGCATATAAAATATGCTAATTTATAGTACATGAAAATACGGCACAATTGTAATGTTGTAGTAAAATTATAATAAATTATTTAATATTATAAATAACTCTAGTCTGAAGAACTGCAACATTTAAATGTTATAATGCATTAAAAAAAATAATACAATGATAAACATATAACTGGACAGGGTCTTTCTGCTGCGCAAAACTTTTATTCTGCTACTTTTATTTAACTAAAGAACTTTAATATTTCTTCCATCACTAAATAAAGTTAATTACAAGAAAGCACCAGAATCAATAACTGTGTGCAAGTTGGATTCAGCTTTCGGGTACCATGTGTCAAATATTAAGCTAAGTTTGAGTAAGTCAGATAAGTTTGTTGTTGTTAAACTTTAAACTTTAATTCATACTTTTTCATAAGTTTCATAAATTCATAAGTTTTGATTAATTCATTCAAAATGTCAGGACAGTATGACAAAAATACAGCTCCTACCTCCACAATATATATATATATATTCTCCAATAAATGCAGCAGCACATATTGAATGTGTCTCCCTAGTGTGGGGGTATCTAACAGCATGTTCAGTGTGAGTCTCATCACTCTAGCATGACTTACTGCAGCCGACCCCCTGTTTCCCCTAAGTGTGACCTTTGGTTGGTGCCACCACATTTTCTGATTAAATAAATGTTCTTTTTTAGACAGTCTATAACAAATGCATACAGTCAAGCTACAGTATATAATTTCCTCTTAAATTAGCTCTCACAAGAAGCCCTTCCTCGTGAGAACGGATCTGTTTTTGTGTTCATAATGATTTAGGACCGGTACAGTAGCTGCAGCTACTAAAGTTACAGTTAGGGCTTAACACAGGAAATTGAACAACATTTTTGTGCAGAAATCTGTCTGCAGCATCTGACCTGAGAGGATGTACCCCACAATTAGCTGCTCTACGTTAACCCAATCCTTTTCCCTCTTTCTCTCTCTCTCTCAGCAGCAGAGTCGTACTCTGTGGCGGGCAGTGATGGCAGTATCCCCCCATCGGTGTGTTCTGTGCCCCACCAGGCCTCAGGCAGCTCCAGCCCCTGCTCACACTCGTCTGGAGGATCACGGCACCCTGTTAGCGCCCTCAAGAAATGGCTCACCAATCCCGTCCGCAAGCTGAGCTCGGATGCCAGGGGAGGAGCGGGGAAAGTCGAGAAGCAGATGTGCAGGTCAGACGTGAGGCAGCCGCCATCGCTCCTTTCCCACAGTGAAACCCTGCCGAGGCCTCTGCAACCGCACGACAGCTACACCATCCTCCCCTCTGGAGACACGGTGAGACTTAAAGACAGACTACATTTACACCTCCTATATATACACACTCAGTTTTTTTGTTTTTTTGTAATGGTTGTTGTGTTTGTGTTGTACAGGTGTCGATAGATGGTCTGTTGAGTCCAGCAGTTCCTTCTCCTACACAGCCGCCATGTCAAGGCCACTTATCTGACCTCCTGCAAGGCAGAGACACGCAGAGTCTAGTAATGTCTCTATTCTATTTTATTCTATTCTATTGGTCTATGGTATTCTGTTATTCTACTTTGTACTATCTCTTTCTCTTAAATAGTTTATACTATGTTATTATATTATGTTCTATTCTATTTATTGGATTATATTCTATTCTGTTGTGTTCTACATATGATTTGATTTTAAACAATGTTGTTCTATTATATTATATTCTGTTCTTTAAAATTCTGTTCCAATCCGTGTTGTTCTATTTTAATCAAAGGTCATGATTCAAAGTCAGTTGAATTAGTGACACTGAATTCTCCCTTTAAAATGCACAGCACATTTCAATTAAAGGCCAAACTAGACATGCTATAGTTGGATTAAAGGCTCAGAGACACAACGTACATAAAAGATTAATTTTCATGCACTGAATTACTGGCAATCATGCTACATTTAACCCAATCTTCTATTCCACATATAACAGTGGCTCCTAACCACAGAGTCACAGGCCGTGTCTGGGTAGTGCAACATTTGTTACTGTGCCTCATGAAACAATGAAAAACAACAATATTTAAACACAACAATTTATTGTAGGCTTTTTGTGCGATAACTTCTTACACAGGATATTGATTTCAGAGTGATTTTTCAGATTGTACTCAATCAAAAGCTCCCATCACTCTTACAACTAGCTAGTTAATATTAGTAAAAATAATAAAGAGATTCTTCAGAGGAGTTAGGTGAGATAAAAGGCCATAATGCAATATAATGTGGAATATTTATAAACAGAAAACGTTTTAAACTTTGAGATAGATTGAGAAATTGATTGATAAGGACTAAGTCCTGGACTTATTTTAATAATTGTCCCGAATGTTACACAATCCACCAACCTTAATCAAGACAGAGGCAAGGATTCAACGTCTGAAATTATGATGTTTTAGAAAATAAGAACTACAGAACTACAAAACTGAATCATATGAATAAACAATAAAATCTTTTTAGAAAGTTGAAAAGGTAAAAAGTATCAAAGACACCAAAACAGAATTCTTATAATCTACTTCAGAGTCTGTCCTTTACTTTAACTTTACTTTGGTCGTCCGCTCCACAAGAACATTATAATTATTTAAAATATAAAATACAAATCACGTACACGTACAAATCAAAAGTTCTCTAAATTCTTCACTTCCCTCACTATTATTTGAATGATTTCAGTGGAGACTCTCATCATTAAACCTTAATGTAATGCAGGTTTCATGAGTTAATAATAATTTAAACGCATACACTTAAATGTCAAGACAAGTCGCACTAAAACTGTGAATTATAAACGTGCACGTCACTCTACATCCTGTTTAGTTGTATTAACGTGCGAAAGGCTTTTATTTGCACACATCATTTGACTTCCACAAATTGTGCCAAATAAATAGCACAAAACACACATTTTGCTGCATATTTTGCACACAATCACACACAAGCACATACTACTAATTTCTGGTAACTCTACACTGTTCTCAGTACTCTTTGAAAGGCCCTGTGGGGTGGAATCAATCCTGTGTGCTTTTCTAGACAGACATCTGGAAGTAATCAACTAGCCAAGCAGTCTGTAACAGGCTAAAACAGGGTCAGGATTGGGGGTGAGGAGTGTACTGTTAAGACACCCAAGCAGCCTGAGCTATAAAGAGCTAATTACTCGAGGGGAACTCAGGGCCGCCGTGCACGAACATAAATATTGCCGTTGGATGTTGGACCTGTAGAGGAACAGGCTTACAGGATAAACCCGTCGCTCTTGGAACTTTTCGGTCTTTGTCGTCGACTGGTTCAGTTCTTGGTTAGCATTTTATATGAGACATACTGTAGAAGACATGGACAAAGCTCTGTAGTAGCTCCTATCACATGGGCAATCACTTACATCTGTTCACCACTCTCTCTCTTTGTAGCAGCGCTAATACACCTTGAATTAGCCGTCCCACCCAACAGCCAATAGCTACAACCGTAAAACATACGCCCACTATTAGAGGAGGAAGCGGCCTGCAGCCAAAGTGAGAAACAGACCTGTGGATGTTGGTCGGTTCTCATTTAGAGTACAAAAGCTTTACATAAGAGATAAGTTAATTTTTAAAGGGTTGAAATAATTCTTTAACCCATAAATTACAATGTTCTGTTTGATAAATGACGTTCCCTTACTTTTCCTCAGTCCTCTCGCCCTCGTGTGACGAAGGCTTTGTCTCTTTAAAGATCCAGTGTGTAACATTTAGGAGGATCTATTGGGAGAAATTGTCTCCAATGGAGGTCGCCATGTTAAACTGCCATGCTTCTACAGTAGAAACCAGACAACGGCTGCAGATAGGGCCTTTCACATATTAAGTTTTTATTGAGCCACTGAATCGTACACACTGATCCTTTAAAGGAATAGTTTTACACTTTGGGAAATATGTTTAAACGCGTTATTGCCAAGAGTTAGACAGAATATTGATAATACTCTCACATCTGTACGGTAAATATAAAAGTGGCCGGTTAGCTTAGCTCAGCACAAAGAATGGAAACAGAGGGAAAGAGTTTACACTTCTGGAGCTCACTAATTAACATTTTATGTCTCGTTTGTGTCATCTGCACAAATCCAAAGTGTGTGATTTGACACTTAAAATATATGTAATGTAAAATGCTAATTATCAGTCCTACATGTCACTTTTTGTATAGATTAAACAAACAAGATGTAATGTGTTAATTAGTTAGCTTCACAGGAGCTGGTAGGTGTATTGTGTTACGTTTGGATTGGGCTAGCTGTTGTCACCTGTTTCCAGTTTTATGCTAAGCTAACAGGATTGTACAGATATGAGACTTTTATCTATCTTCTAATCAAACTCTCAGCATAAAAGAGTGCATTTTACAAAACGTCTAACTATTCCTTTAACCTCCTCATGGATTTCAGAACAACTAACTTGCGGGTGAGAAATTACTGTAAGAGAGGAGAAAGCATTGAGAGCAACAAGCTAAACTAAGCTCAGCCGTGTTAATGGCTGCTGACTAGTGGATCAGAACCAAAGTGAAGATCAGCCTCAGGTGTTTTTCATAGTCGGGACGTCTGCTGTGTGAACAGTCGACTCACAGAGAGCGAGGGAGCAAAAAAGACTGACTGAAAATAAACAGAAAGTGCATATTTGACCTACAAACTGACTTCACAGAAGGATTATCATCTAGTGCACTGAGGCAGAGAACAAAATGTGGTGAGTCTGCAGTATGTCAAGAGGATTACAGTCAACTTCACATTAGTTTGTACTGCTTTTAGGGGAGGAGTGATATTTGTTATATAACATCTCTCCATGCCATTGTCAGTTACTCCGACCTTTATTATCTGACTTGACAAATTGTACAAATGTTGCTGATTTACCTTCATTGGTCAGGCCTGATTATACTTTTCCGAATGTCTCTGTCCAACAGTCTCTTCAGCAGCACAGAGAGACATTAAAAAGCGATTATTACTCTCAGGTTACTTGGGATTTGGGGTTGACATGACTTTCCAAAAGGGATCGGTAAAATTGCTTTACTGATGTGTTCCCCAGGATTAGGACCCTCTCATCTTGCTGGCTGGGTCAGAGGACGCAGAAAATGAAGCTTAATGATTTAAGTTTGCATGGTTGATGCCCAGTGGTCTGACATCATTCTGCACCACAGCGTCTGGAAGAAGTACTAAGTTCCTTTACTTAAGTAAAAGTACCAAAACAACAATTTAAAGATACTCCACTATAGGTTAAAGTCCTACTTGTACTTTAGGTAAAGAAGCATTATCAGCAAAATAAACAAAAATTGCTTATACTGATACATTAGTGTGTAAGTAGCTGGTCACGGTTTAGTGGTTCCCATTTATCTTCTTTCAAAGTGTGATTGTGACAGTGATAAATCTGAGAGATTGTGAGATAAATGGTAAATGGCTGCATTTATGTAGCACCATCAGGAGCGTTTTGGGGTTCAGCGTCTGGCCAAAGGACACCGAACAACCCTGTGATTAGTGCACAACTGGCTTTACCTCATGAGCCACAGCCGACCTGCTGTGATGATTAATGGAAGAGGGAAAATGTTCTGTTACACATATTTGTATTAATTTTTCAATTTTTCTCTAACCTTTACTTTTTTGTGAAATAATGGTTAACGTCTGCAATTTATGTCAAACTAAAAACCACCAGAAAAGTTTAAAAGGGCAAATCTCTCTTTGTTAGAGCTGCTAACAACTCATACACCCCAGCTAGAGTCTGCTTTTTGAGCCACTGGCATGAATGTGTGTCCACTTATATAATACTATATGTTACGATGCGATGCTTACCAAATGCTGTACTGTCTTGTTTGTGTGTTTTAGAGTCAAAGATCCAGCGTCAACACTCTCCAAGGGGAAGACGTCTGCACCATGACTGATGACTCAGGCAGCCAGTGGTCCGCTACAGTGGACAGTGAAGAGGAGAGAAACATTGCCTTAGAGAAGAGCATGTAGGTCCTGACCTCTACATTAAAGAAGTACAGTGACATTTTGGGACATACGCTTATTTGCTTTGTTGAGGGGAAAATTGATACCACGTTCGTGTTTGTCCAATAAATATGACGCTCCAGCCAGCCGACAGTTAGCTTAGTTTAGCATAAAGACTGTAAACAGGGTGAAAAAGCTAGCCTGGCTCACTGATTAACATAATGTGTCTCGTTTGCTTATCCATTCAAAAAGTGTAAAAAGGTCAAGTTGTGTTTTTTAAGAGGTGACATTCCTTTCTGCAGTCTTGTCTTGGCAAATTGTCCTTTTTACATTTTGTTTTTGTATGATTTAACAAATAACATGTTTTTGAGTGTTTTAGAGGTGCTGGTAGG